CCGGCCGCCCGGGGCATCGGCTCTGCCCAAACTTGTCAGGAGTCTCAGGGCTGCAGCTAGTTTGTCTCTGGGCACAGGCTGCAGCCGCGCTCCGCATGAACGCTGCACGGTAGCAGGCACACACAGCAAACTGCACACCCTGCACCTTGAGGAAGGGCCTCACACCTCAAGATAGAGCATGGCATGGTGGGACCAGCGTTCCCTGGAAGCTGGGTGCTTGGGCGGTCCACTTGAAGAGATTCAAATGCCACCCCGCTGATTAGCCGAGTGCCCACAGCTGGTAGCATGCGGTTCTATTCGGTGGTGCACATCCGCACATGCCTTGGTGCACAGAACAACAATTATTCCACACCTGGATGGGAAATGTTAGCGGGAACATTGGCTGGGACCCATAGTGCCCGTGTACTGCTGCCCCTCGGTGAGCCAGACAAGGGCAGCCGGATGTTGTAACACTCCAGGCTGCTTTGGGCTGATAGCACCCATGATCAATAGGGCTAGCGGGAGGTCATGAGGTGACTGCGGGAGTGCAGGGATGAATGGATGCTGGACATCAATAGCTAAATAGGAAGATTTCTCCCCATCAGCCCATGTCGGTGATGGACACTGGAAATGAGGGGTGACTGCAGGCTGGGAGGGGGGCACTTTCCTCTCTAGGCATGGAGGGGCCCAGGTGGGGGGACCCAGCTCACACCAACATCGCCGATCCCCGAGTCAGTCTGCCAGGGGGCAAGTGCTACTCACCCTTGGGGAGGGTTCTTGTCCAGCCACCCGGCTTTGATGATGGGGGAGAGCTGGGCGGGGGCATCCAACCCCTCCCTGCTGCCGCTGTGCATGCTGAAGCTGCCGAGGGACGCCATGTGGCTGGACTGCAAGGTGCTCAAGCCATAGTCGTTCCAGCTGCTGCTGTCGCTGAGGCCGGGGCAAAGAGGGACAAGTGGTTAGGAAAGGCTCCTGATCAGAAGGGCTGGATCCTGCTGGTCAAAGGGCTTCCCAGCTTTGACTTGCCCCCCACCCTCCGCTCTCTGGATTCGCCTTCTCTCTGCACCAGGATCAGCCAGAGGAGAAACCTCCTTGCTCGGGCTCCGCTCCCTCCCGCCTCATCTGCAATGCAAAAAAGCCTGGTCGTCAGGCACAGACTTTGCCCGCATTCCTTGTCTTTGGGATAATGTGTGACCCGGAGCTAAGGGCCTGCTTGAAAGCAGCAGTGCTGGCTGGGGGCAGGGAGAGGACTTTGTGTGCCCTTGGGGGAGCGGGCACAGGGCTTGTGCCCTGCCCAGCACCGCAGGGAGCCCGATCCCAACAGGGGCCTCTGTAGGCCCCCAGGGCCAGGCCTGGGAGGCGAGGCAGGACAAGAGAACATCACGCCACAGGCAGCACCGGATCCTGCTCGCCGGGTTCCCAGAGCCACTCCGCTCCTCTCAGGGGGGTGGCTCCGGATTTACACTGGCATCACCAACCAAGGCTCTGCCGGCCGACGCTAGATCTCCTGGGGCCAGCATGTGTAGCGCTCGGCACCGCCTCGCTTCCGAGGCTGCCGGAAGCCACCTGGCGGGTCCCCTCGCTGGCTCCGTGATTCACCATAGCAGGGGCCGCAGAGGAAGGAGAACGCCCCCGTGCTCGGGGAGGAGAAGGGGAGGGGAGGAGAAACGGTCCCTACTTGGCCGAGGGCTGGTCGTAATAGTCTTCAATCAGCTCGTCCTCGCTGAACAGGCTGTTGACTCGCTCGGAGCGCGAGCGCCCCCTCCGGCTCCCGGCATTGTCCTGCGGAGACAGAGACAGGGCGGGTCTCGCAGGAGCAGCCTTTCGGTTCCTAGTTCCCCGCTGGCAGCAGGGCAGGCTGGCACGGCCGGGATGGAGCAGTTCCGCACTCCTGCACGTTCTGCCCATGTCGCAGCTCGTGCAGAAGGAGGGGAGCTCACGTTTGCACCTCGCCAGCTCGGGTACCCACAGCAGCAATGCTCCTGCAGCACTGGCGAGGGATGTCATTGTGTAGATGACGACATGATTAACGGAGAAGCCTGGGCTTGTCGGTTAATCCTGTCGATTACACACATTCCTCCCCCCCCCTTGCTGCCTCTGCACAAGAGGCAGCAAAGAGGAGGGGAGCAGGAGCCAGTGCCTGTGAGGGGCTAGATTAAAAGCCAGCTCCAAACAAGCACCAGATCTGCCTGCCCCTCCACCCCAGTGCTGCTGCCTCGGACAGAACGAGCAACGCAGGGCTGGGGGCTCACAAGCTGCCGGCCCCACCCCCGGGGACTATCGAATAGTCGTGTAACCACATGAAATCTTTGCGCTTCCACAACTGCTCAATTACATGACATCTAACATCTCTAGCCCTGACTGGCCTGCGTAACTATGCCGGGTTTCCCCAGACAGGCTCATACTCCCACACCAAACCCTGTGCTACCACTGCATCGCTGCCATGGGTGTTCGGTCTGACTAGAGCAGGGTTTCCCAACCTATGGGTCGCCATGACATTTCAAAAGGGTCACCAGGTGTCTCTGCCCTGCCTCCTCCCCCTGTTTTTGAATTGCCTGTCGTCACCAAGTCTTCCTGAATGGTCAAAATGGATCCCCACCTGGAGAAGGTTGGGAACCGCTGGACTAGAGTAACGCGAGCACAACACGTCCATACACCATGTGTCAGCAAAGAGAAACTAACCCGCTCTGGGAAACG